ACGATATCAGCGTGTTATTTCAAGACAACCTCGGTTGTTCGAGACAGACTGAAAAGGCATCTAAGAATGCAAATCAATACCTCGGCCTTCTTCGCAGAGCTTTCGGAAAGTTTGACTCGTCAATCTTTCCAACAACGCTTAGTGCTTACGAGAGGCCGCACTGCAGTATACGCTATTCAAGCGTGGCCACCCTGGCTCAAGCACCATCTCACTGCGCTCAAACCCTGCACAACGTAGGGCAACGAAGATCGTCAGAGATTTGACCAGCCTTTCCTACCCACTCAGGCTGAAGTCTCTCAAAATATACAGTGGACGTTATCGGCGTCTAAGGGGAGATCTAATAATGGTGTACCAGATCCTGAGAAACCTCAACAACCTATGCCATTCCCTTCTAATACTCAGTCAAAACATCCCGCTAAGTGGTCACCAGTTTAAATTGATCACGCAGTACAGCCGCCTGGAATGTCGGCGAATCTGTTTCTTCTTTCGAGTGTCATAGACTTTGAACTCCCTGCCGGAATATGTAATTAATGCTCCACCCTATCTCTTTTCCAAAAACGGCTTGGCGAAACTCGGTCACATCTACATTATGTGCTACAGTCCATGACCACCAGATGCTGGCAGTAATGCGCAACAGACCGTGGAAGGTGCCATAACCCTACTGGAGAATGAGTCACTCCAAACCCCTTGCACCCAATCTATTAAACGCTACTACTGTATAAAGCGGATTTCTGTATCCCGTCGACCCGTGATAGCTGCCCACGAGCAAGCGCTGTCTTGCTATTTTTTTAATTTTTCTCGTTTATTACATGATCAATAACCACTCCGGTTATGGCTTTGTGTACGCACATTCTAATTTCAAACTCCGTTTATACGGCGGTGCATTTACATCTGTAATCGCCGGAACAGACCATTTCATAATCCCTTGATCTATCATTTCTCACTTTAACCACCCTAAGGGACATGTCAAGCACCTTCTTCCTATGCGTTATAAATCATTTTTCATTCTTCCTGTGCTATGCAATTAATTAAATCAATCATCATACATGCGCTGATGCCGTACCTGGAAAACCACAACAAAATGGCCCCGGAGCAACATGACTAACGGCAAAGGAGTTCATGTACTAATAACTTAATTATTGCACGTAATAGCAGGACTGAAGCTGTTGATGATGGAGCAGGAATCGATGTCATATACCTGGACGTGCCAAAAAGCGTTTGATCTCTTAGGCCATCGAATGCATTTTCAATAGCTTCGGAACTACGGCATTGGCGACGCAATCTTGAGTTGGATAAGTAATTTTCTACACGAACGACGGCCAGCGGTGAGAGTCCGAAATTCATTGTCCGATGCAATCGATGTGGTGTGTGTGGTGCACCACAAGGCTCGGTGCAGGGACCTCCTCTATTCTTGGTGTTTATTAACGTTTTGGCGAGATCAATTGCTCCCGATTTCCTAGTTTTCACGGATGATATCAAGACATGTCGAAAGACCAGAGGGCAGGACGGCCACGAACGGCTCCAGTGCCATCATAACTGTTTCGAACTGGTCAGTTCGAAACGCCCTACCTTTCAGCGTAGACAAATGTCGCGTTGTACAATTACGCCATAGACCCGGCTACACAAATTTGCTTGGGACAAACGGATTGCACACAACCTCCCAGGAACGTAAACTTGGTGTGCTCGTACAGAGCGACCTCAACCGTCCAAAACAGGTTGTGGTAGCCTCAAACGGAAGCAACGAGCACGTCGGCATACTGCGAATTTCATTAGGGAGATTTGACCCGACAATCTTCCCAATGATGCAGAATTCCTACTTGCGCCCGCGCTTTGAATAATCTATTTAAACTTGGCGACCTAGACGCAATAGAGGCAGCACAACGAAGATCAATAAAGTATGTAAATGGTCAAAGCTTTCTCTATTACCACCGATGGCTGATGTTGCTGGAATTTTTCAACGGACGCTATGGACGACTGCGCGACGATCTACTATTACCGTAAAAATACTGAGTGAACCCAACCACGTATGCTGCCATTTGCTGAGACTTACCCACAACTCACAGCTCAGGGGTATTGTTTGCAATTGAAGGAACAATAGAGCCTCCTAGAGTGTCGACGTAATGATTATTCCGTTCGGGTTGGCCAGCTGTGGAACGAGCTCGCAGGCTCAGTTGTATCCCCCCCTGATTTGGAAGTTTTCAAGAAATGATTAGATGTTGTTCTTAGTTCAAAGCACTATGTTACCTAAACTACGCTATGTTGGATTACGTCAACCATGCTTTTCTACAGGATTTTTGTATCAAATGGACCCAAGTGAGCGATGATATTTTACTTTTCTCACGATTTCTATCAACGACTACTGCACGCCTTATGTTTCTGCATGTTTAAACACGATTTTTAATTTTACACTGAAGTTATTTGTCAAATCATTCATCTCGGTAGATGCTTGGTGGATGACCCAACTATGTTTTGATTTCATCGTAGTTACCGCAACCATCCTACGGGACGTGTCAAACACTTGCTTTTATCCCGTGATAAATAATTGTTCGTTTTTCATTATGGTACGCATCTGTCTGAGATGTCGCGCGCTATTAAGCATTCGCCTAGATTAAGCTTCCCAATTTCTTGATTATAGTTTATGTTTATTCTCTCAACTATTGTTCGACTTGTGTGTACCCTCTCGGTGATTTTGGTTCATGCTTTTTTAGCCAGTATAACTGTTTGGTTAGTTATAGGTACAACGGAGCCTCATATATTTGCAATAAAGTAGCGAAGCCGTTGTTCCTACTAAATAGTGCTTTAAGTTTCTCCATCCAGGTTTCGGATTTGTTGCGAATGTGGTGTTGATCGCTATGCTTATATGTGCAGCACCATAAAACAGGTGCCAATGCATATACTCGTGAACAAGTATCGTTGCTAAATTCGTTATCATTTACAGCTGAATTAAACAGTTGGGTCGCTGAGTTTTGTCGAATTCCACAAATATTATAAGTTTGTTACGTGCCTTGCAATCAAATCTATGTGGGGTGCGAATGTCTCTCAACATTGTGCCTGACAGCTTAGGTGACCCAGTTGAAAAGTGCCTTGTTGTGAAAACAACTCGGAGGTGTATTATCAATGAACATGCAGGCAGAATAGATTCCCATCTTAAATACTAGACCAATGATAATAGTGCATCTGGTTGGCTCACTAACATTAAATGGGATACAGGAGACTATTTCTTTAAGTCCCGTGATTGTTGTGTGTGCAGTAAACAACCGATTAATGTGTGGTAGGCTGAACTCGCCGCATATAAAATCGGATTTATAATTGATACTGGGGGTAACATTGATCACATCAGTAGCTGTTGCATTTGAAAATGAGTAGCTGCAGTGGATCGATAGATGCAACCCACTGAAAGATAATAGATGGACCGCAAGCCATGGTGTATCCTCTAGGTTGTTGAACACAGTTTGACAATTCGGAATCGCAGTAAAGCCCCTAGGAATATATATGACGCAGCCACCACCAAGTTTGTGGAAATGATCACAGTGTAAGAGATGGTAGTAATTAATTTATGATATTCAGTATTTTCAATGATAGCAGCAGTAGCAGTGACTTCCATAAACATGAGCGTTGAAAGCAACTGCAGTTTAGGTAACGGAGTATGTCAACAATGAAGAACTAGATAGCGACTGCCGATTAGAATACAAGTGAACCAACTTACATTCTTCGTTATTTATCTACAGTATGGTGTGTTGAGAGTTAGTCGAGTCACACTGACCTCTGCAATGTATTGGATTAAATGAAGTTGGTACACCAATCACTGCATAATTCCTGACTCATCATGAACTTGCTGGTTGCGTGATTGGTTGGGGAGAACATGAGGGCCTAAAAGTGGACACATATTCGTTGCATAGAGCATTGGGAGGATACTACGGTACAAAATGTCGTTTTCCTTCCCATTATACTGCTACTGGTCTCTTAGTGCTAACGACTGAGAATGACTTTAGGTAGAAAGAGGTTGTTTCTCTGTGTGTGAGCTCTTAATTTCCACCACAACTTTGTTGCCTATATTAGCTTTGCAATTACATGTGCTCTGCTAGCATATGCCGCATAAGTTTGAGTTGTAATCAAAGGTACTCTGGGCAGACTGATGTTAAGCTTTCTGCTACTTTCCTGATATTGGTTTCAGTGTTGCTCGCGGAAGTCTAAAATCGCATATTTTATCTCAGTTGGTTTGGTTAAATCTTTCTTCCGCGTTGTGTGAATGCTTAAGTGTTTTGAGCTCCGATAATGTATGTAGTGAGTTTTGAGAGAGTGTATCCTGATGCATTAGCCTACTAACAGGTACATGGAATCAAGCCATAACTAGATATGGTAGCGTTTGGTCCATGCTGCAATTGGGAGGACTCTTTTATTTGTTTTGAGTTTGATATGCAACATAAACAGCTACTGCCATATTCTGCTTGGGTTCGTGCTGAGTAGAAGAGCCACACGATGCGGGAAGATAATTAATCTACAGGTGTCATCTTACTAGTTATTTTTCAATGTGGTTGCTGTCGTTGGGCCTCCAATTGGAACGGACTATATCAAGTAATGCAAGTTGGGATGCATTTCATGAAGGCACTTTATGAATAGCGTTATTGTAGAGGCAAGGATAACATAACTCCGAAGGGGATTCCAGGCAGGAGAAACACGGAGGGGGAAAAATTTGTCGACAACCAAATCGACTCTATTGCGTAGCCAGCTTGAGTAGGTTGCCTCTCGGGTTGGTATTTTGGCTCAGCTGCAACAGACTGTAACATAGATGAGTCGTATTCTTCAGTAGTAAGTAAAACATGATTAGACATTCTCGCTGACGTCGATATTTATCACCGTACAACCTCAGTCACTGCCGTCTGCGCTGCTAGGAGAGGCGAAACCAACTTATAACGAGTTTGGTCACTACGTTATGCAGCTTGGAGTGCATTGATGCCGAGCTTGCACCAGTGGCGCCAGACCTGGATCGCATATTAAACGTGGGGCCTCACGTAAGCGTTCAGCATTTGCGAAATGATTGATGGCTCCAGATTTCCGAAATCTCTTCTTAAGGGTACAAAATCTTGACTGGCTATTTTTAATGTTGCTTCAGCCAGCTTAGAGCAGCCAAGATCGTACTGCACGATCACCTTGACGTCGTTTTCTTGGGAACCATGTTGTAACTGCTGGTCCCCAAGTCGATATTCATAGATAAGCTGATGGCTTATGTTTACGACTTTGCACTTCTCCACCTTGAGCTGGAGCCGGTTATGGGACGCCCTTGCGTAAGCCTTGTCAAATTCGCTCAGCAACGCCATATGATAATCCGCTGTCCTGAAATTATGCCAACTTTTGACATCATCTGCAAATAGTAAGAAATTTGACCGCAGTAAACTGCTAAGATCCCTAATGAATGTGAGGAATAAGCGTGTCCCCAGTACCGACCCTTGGGGCATTCTACACTGGATACCGATAGGGTAGGAAATAATGCTGCGGACTCAGACGCGGCGAGTTGCTCGTGAGCGTGGTATATCGCAGTCCACTGAGCCGCTGTTTGGGCTGGTTGCCGCGTATTCGCAACCACATGGGTCGTCCGATGTTCCTACTCATGGGCGATTTCAACTTGCCCCGAATACAGTGGCCAGAAGCTGAACTCCTCCTCGGCCACTGTGAAGTCGAAAGGAATTTTACGGAGTTGCCATTTGAAACTGGGGCCACACAGCACATCAACCAACCGACAAGCATTACTGCGCACGCGACTCCATCATGCTTAGACCTGCTGTTGACTAGCTGTGAGCAGCGTGTACATAACATTAAAGTCTTAGAGCCCTTGGGAGCGAGTGACGACTCAGTGATCATAGGCAATTAAGAACTACCGCTACCGTATCCTCTCCCACCAGAGTCAGCCTTCAACTATTGGAAGGCGGACTTTAATGGCCTCATTCAAGCATCGAGCCAGATAGACTGGTCTTTACCACAGGATTCATCTATTGAAACCTGTTGGGCTATCATTAAAGAGGGAGTGAAATCGTTGTGCGCCTGATTTGTGCCCCTCAAATTTCGGAAAGTTATGCCAGTCAAACCACATTGGTTTGACAAAGAGTACAACAAAACGGCCCGACGACGACGTAGACTATGGAACAAATTCGTGTTATCTGGCTCTGATGAGAACTGCAATGCCTCCAAGGTGCAAAGAAATCGCTGCAACAACGCGAAAATAAGAAAACGCAGAAGCTTCGAAGAGGAGCTTGCAACTGCCTCAAAAACTGCTCTCCAGAAGATCTTCGCATATGTGAAGCGGCGCCTAAGGCCTATAGCCAATATCCCAGTGTTAGAAGGCTCAGAAGGATAGCCCCTAACCTCGAGTACAGATCTTGCGTCAGCATTGGCAACGCACTTCGCCTCCGTATTCGCAAGTGACCAGGTGACTGTAATGAGTTCGACGAGCACCGCTCCAAACGAACTTAACAGCCTGGACCGCAATATTGAGGATGTACGCAAGATTATAGAAAATCTTGACGTGACGAAACCTACTGGGCCAGATGGTATACACCCACTAATCCTCAAGTCATTATCGACTATAATTGCATCTTCTGTAACTGAACTGTTTAACAGGTCACTATCCACTGGTCTACTACCGGACGGTTGGAAATACTCAGTCGTAAAACCTATCCCGAAAGGTGGTAACCCAATTAAAGTGGATAACTACCGGCCTATCTGCGTGACGGCAGTTTTGGCAAAGACGCTCGAGAAGATCGTGAAGAAGAGCCTTCTGCAACTTCTCGAGTCGAAAAACCTGTTAACCTCCGCACAGCATGGTTTCCTGAAAGGTCGTTCGTGCATCACCAACCTACTGTTGACGAGGCACGAATGGTTACAAGCGCTGAACAAAGGCCAATCGGTTGCCGTCATTTACATTGACTTCAGTAAGGCTTTTGACAAGGTTAACCATGCAGTGCTTCTTGACAGACTGAGGATGTGCGGTGTTGGTGGTTCGCTACACAAATGGATCAGCAATTTACTTGTGGATCGGAAGTGGAGAGTCCAGGTGGACGACCATCTAACTGACTGGTATCCATCGAGCAGCGGCGTGCCCCAAGGCACTCTACTGGGACCGATGTTGTTTCTAATCCATATAAACGATATGCCTCAGCTACTACAATCACATTGTGCTTTGTTCGCAGATGACTTGAAAGTGTGGAGAGTAATCCGCACACTCAGTGATTGCGATTTACTTCAGCAGGATCTCGAACGCCTCTCGACGTTGTCTGCAGAGGTTAACCTTCCGATCAACCCTGCCAAGTCGCAATTAATGAGGTTGGGTAAGTGTGATCACGGCCGAACGTACACAGTGGCTGGTCAACCGTTGCATCCCGCTCCTTTCGTGCGCGACCTCGGTGTGCTCTCACGCTGCGACCTAAAGTCAATTGACAACACAAATAGGCTGTACCAAAACAGCCTTCGTATGCTTTGGGCTCTCAGGCGCAACTTTAGCACTTGGTCCGAAGAGATTACTTCTCGCCTCTTCGTCTCGATAATACGACCAGTGCTGGAGTACGGCACTCCCGCATACTGTCCCATCACCCGGGACGAAGTAGAAAGCTTGAGCGGGTGCAGCATGTAGCCACCAGGCTGATTCCCAACTTACGAGAGATGCCATACGAAGACCGATGTAAGGAACTAGGGTTATACACCCTATCTTACCGTCGGCTGAGAGTTGACCTCATCATGACGCACCGGATATTACATCTGGGTGATTACCCCATGTTGAGACAACTACTTCATCTGCGCACAACAAGATGCACGCGAGGACACCGGTATAAGCTTATCGTCCCGGATTTGAAAGGGGTCGGCCATCAACTCTGTTTCGAACGCAGCGTGGTGAATGTCTGGAACGACCTGCCTCAGCATATAGTAGCAGCCTACACCGTGTCCAAATTCAAGATGCTACTAGACCAACAATTTGCAGAGGCAAAGTACAGAGAGCGAAAAGATAAATAAATAGTTCATGTCCGAAAACGACGAAAGATGCAGCTACACACAGCAACCTCTACTCGCTGCTTCGCACCAGTTCTCAGTTCTAACATTCCGCTGAAGTTGATAGTGGATGCTTCTGAACCAACCGAGCACAGGGTCACGGATTGCATAGCTTCGAATTTTGATGATGGAGAATGCGGTGGTCTAAACGAACTTTTCCGAGATGTTTACGTGGATAACGGCGACTCCCATTCTGGCAAAGGCTGACTCTGTCCAGCTTGCACGGGCTAGCAGCAATTTTGTAGTGCAGAAGCGATTTCGGCGGAATGCGTGTTGCTGTGGCGCTAGGATACTGTTACTCTCATGATATGCCATGAGCGTCTTTGCAATTATACGTCCCAGTACTTTGGATAACAGTGAGAGGAGAGTGATTGTACGGTAGTTCGAAAGCTCCGACAGATTAACACTTTTTAAATAGAAGTGAGCATTCCATGTTTCAACATTGTGGGAACCCGCATTTTGTTGAACCACGTTGAAAGAACCGAGCTACTGGTTCGGCAACGTTTCTGGCCGCTGTTATCCCTGCCTTTCGTTTGATGTGGTCCATGCCAGGTGAGCCGTGCAAGTGCAATCATATTAGCGTTTTCATCAAATTGACTGCTGACGTTGGTAGCTGTGTCAAAAGCGGACGAAATGATAATTCGCTCCGAAAATTATGGATGTGTTGTTGCCAAGCACGTTGCGTGCATCTTGTGCGGTTTGCGCTAAACAATCTGTTGCACGCAAAACCGGGATCTCGCGCTGCACTCTGCGGAGCTTTTTGACGTGTTTATGCAGCACCTCGGGATTCGTACTGAATTTCACCCCTAAGTTTTGTTGGTGCAGGTTTGTCTACACTTATTAACTTGACGAAGTGGTTTCATTGAATTGTGTACGCCCCAAGGTCAAGTAACTTTGACAGACTTTGTAAGTGCGCCATGATGAATCCCTTAAGCCCATGTATTTTCGAATACCCTCCTGAGGAACGAATTCACTTGCTTCGGGCGAAAGAACTTGCTTTCTGATGCATTTGCCACTAGCTCAGTGAATTGGGTGACGTACAACATCCAGGCTTCTTGGCCAGGAAGGACCAGTCAGTTTCTTGGACGAAGTTGGACAGCATATCGTAATGTGTAACGACATTGGCTTCCACGTTGTTCCCACTGATATACTCTGAGTAACAGATATAACGAAAGGGCAATATGACCTGATCGCTTCGGTCAAGTGGTGCATCTATGGTCACGGTGTCGACCATTAGTTACTCGTTGGAGAGCACAAGGTCCGAAAGAGAGGGTGTCACCCTTTCGGAATCGCTTGGGAGAGGTGACATGGTTGTACAGAGGTACATCGGTAATCACCACTTGCAAATCAGCCTTGAATTGTTCGCCGTGTGAAGCTGGAACTTTGCTTGCGTGCAGGTTGAAGTCACTCACCGCTTGGAGTTACTGTGTGGTCGTGCCAGGACACGTTTCATCGCAGAAGTTAAGTGCTCATCCATTTCCATGATGGACATCGGAAGGCGGTAAAATGATGCTAATAAACACCCATCACCAGGTCTTGGGTGCACACAACACTAAAGAGCGTCGACGACTTGCGTTTCTGGGTCCTCAATGATAGCAACGTGCAGGGCGGGTCAATAATACGGGAGCACTCCCCCTTCTCTGCTAGGTCGATGATTTCGTATGGAAGTCATGCTGGGTAGTGTAATCTCAGCATCCGCGATCTCCGATGTTCAGCCAGGATTCGTTGACCATTACTAGGTCCCAAGGCGTGGAGACATGAGGAATAAGAAGTTTGGTTTCTTGCTGAGAAGAGCTTGTGCATTGGTATGCAAGCAGGTGGGGGCATCGGTGGTCAGAAGCGTGTTTGTGATTGCTGGTTTCGGGTGAGGGTCTATGCCGACCCATTCAGAGTCGGCTGCCGGTCATATTTTTGTAGGACCGATGACGCAGGCCTTAGGGCCAGTTCAGGTTGTTGTATAGAGCTCTCAGAGCCAACAATAGAGTGACCATCCTGTCCTCCGTCAGCTGCCGGAGTGTTTTGGCATTGTTTCCGTTCTGAGCTACACGGTGACAGAATTGTATTGGTAAGTTGCTCGCTCAGTGTTGCATTGTCTATCTGTGGGCCGGTGCCTATGGACTTTATACTTTTTTCGGATGGCAGCACTTTACACTTTTTATGCCACATTTTGATCACATGTTCTGCCGTCAGTTCGTAGTGCAATGCCACTCTCATCACTCGGGAACCACACCCTTTTTAGTTAATTGATAGCGATAACCTTGATGTTGATTTAGCGATAACACTTTCGAGTGAGAGAACTTCACGAATAAAACGACATTCATCCTTGTCATACACTTTGATCTCCAGCTCGCTTACTGACTGGAGCTCAGAGACACCGTGAACAAGGAAACATTTTGCGTCTTGTTGTTTACGGAAGTCA